GTGGCGCTAGTTCCAGAGGCCGTGAGCAGGCCCCAGGTTAGAAGAAGAGGAAGCCTGGGCAGGTCCTGGCGGCTATCGTGACCTCAGGGCCCCGCGTCTCTGGCTGGGTCTGCACCTGCGCTCTAGCCCAGCCCGAGCAGCCTGCGGTGTCCTGGGGCAGCTTCAGGGCAGCACAGAGGGCAGCCTGGGCTCAGAGGCTGGCTGCCTTGCCGCCTGCCGCCGGGAAGGTGGCCCTGGGCTGCTGGGGGCCCGCTTCTCGCTCAGGGAGAGGCGGGTCCCCTCTGGGTGGCCCCCTCGCGGCTTCTGCTGCCACGCGGCGTCCTCTTCTCGCATGTCTGCCTCGGTGCCCCTCCGCAGAAGCACAGCCATGGGGTAGGGTCCGACCCAACCCAGTGTGACATCTCCTGAGCTATAACTGCATCTGGAATAGACGTCTCCTTCCCAGAGCCTGTCAGGTCTGTCGGTGCCAGGGCCAGGCCCACAGCCAGCATCTGCAGCCAGCAGGTGCCCCTGGGATGAGCAGGAGCCGAGTTCGTGGAAGGGCACAGAGCAGGTTGGGGCTGGGGACCTCTTGGTCCCATCCCAGGGTCCCGGAGACCCAGCTCCCGGGTCCCAGCCTCCTTGGGGACCTTCGGACGAGCTGGTGGAGGGCAGCCTGAGGCAAGTTCTCCGTGAGGTCTCAAGGCGGTCATGCAGCAGGGACGGCCATGCTGGGAAAGGAGGGGCCTTGAGCACCTCGCCCACGGCGCTGCCCACCTGCCCTGAGCTGCTCAGGGCACCTGCTCTCAACCCGGCATGAGCGGGGCTCTCAGGCCTCCATGCCTGCTGAGTGACCACTGCCCAGCCGTGGTCAACCCGGCTGACCTGCATGGTCACCCCCGGCTGAACGACTGCCTTCCCGCCCAGGTCCTTCGAGGGTCCGGTGGCGAGGAGAGCTGAAGGGACTGGAGGGCGTGGGTCTGCCATGCGGTGCCACTGTGAGGGCTCGTGGACACATGTGGTCTGCCTCTGGAGGCCAGGTAGAGTGTGGCTGAGCCCTATGGGTGAAGGGGGGACATGCTGGTGGGACTGTCCCTCCCCAGGGTGAGCAGGGACCTGGGGTCTTTATGAAGGCTGGACCAAGCACACGTGGCAAACGGCGAGGCCATCTCCCCAAGGCCGGTTGCTTTTATTATCTCAGCCCCCACACGAGGTACTGACGCGAGACACAGACATTGACGGTGGTCCTCCTCGGCCGGCCCGAGTCCTCTCGGTGATGCCCACAGTCACGTGGTCCACAGGGCGTTTCCCTCCAGGACTGAACCCTGGCCCTGGTGCTCATGCCCTTCTGCGAGAGGGCCAGACAGGCTCCGGGAGGCCCGCCCTGCCCATCCTGAGGGTGTGGCGCCCTGTGCGGGGCAAGGCTGGTGAACCCTGGAGGCGTGAACGCCAATGCACCCTCCCTCCCCGGGGCAGGCACAGGGCCATGGGAAGTCGCCTTTGGTGGCCCTTCAAGTGGCCCTGCTGGATCATTCTCACACACAAAAACCGAAGCATAGACCTGGGGCTGCAGAGCCCGGCCCACCTGGGTGTCGGTTGGCGTCAGGGCACAGGTGGAGCAGCCCAGCATGTGCGTGTGCGTGTGCCCGAGAGCAGTGAGGTTGCAGCGGGCTCTCCCGAGGACTGTCCCCAGCTGCCTGCTGCCTTGGCACAGGAGTGCTCGCTCCAAGGCTGGGTGTCCCAGTGAGTGGGCAGTGGCCGCAGCCCGAGCTGGTCCCAGGAGGGTCTTAAGTGGCCAGCAAGGTAAGCCCCAGCCCCACAGCCTGGGCGCTTGTCCTCTGGTGGTTCTGAGCAGAAGCTTGTGTATGACACGTGGGTGCGATGCTCACCTCCCGGCCAGGCACCAGGAAGGGCCTGCATGTGTGGCCTCCCGCCCTCTGCACGAGTGGACACACAGGGGTGGCTTCTTTAATATGCGCGAGATGGATGGCCTGGGTGTCTCAGTGCACAGCGAACAGGCACCTAGGGACTGGGCGAGGGGGCCAGGGCGCCGGGAGGACAGGGTGGGGGGACCAGGGCGCCTGGAAGATGGGGCGAGAGGAGGCTCCTGGGAGTCGGGCCCGGGAGTGACAGTGGGAGACATGATGGCTGTGCACCCAGCATAGCGTGCTCACAAACACGCAGCTCCTCTCTGGACCACAGAGGGACAGTGGGACATTGCAGGGGGGGCAGGGAGTTGGGCATAGTGCAGCAGGGGCCACCTCGCAGGGACAGACAGGGAGCTGGGTGCTCTTCTGCCCTGTGGGAATGGGGGAGCTACGTGGTTACCATGGCGACACAGGACAGACACAGGGACTCTGCCTGGCCCGCAGAGTCGGAAGAGAAGAGGCTGACATGACTTGTGGTTTCGGTAGTGGACAGGGCAGGCGTGGCCCTCCTTTCCTGGACACGCAGATCCCCTGTTCACGTGTGCCCGTCCGCGGCGAGGCAGCCTCTGTGGGGATCTTCTCGCACGCTACACCAGGAGCCAGTGGCGGAGCTGGGAAGACAGGGCTGGCTCAGGGGGAGGAGGGCAGCTAGGGCTGAACGTGGCTCTCTGGCCGGCGAAGCCCTCTGCCGCTCAGCTGCACAGGGTCCCCAGGCATGGCTGGGTCCGGACCCTGGACTGACTGCCCCTGTGGGATTTAGTGATGACCCTGCCCCTGTGTCCCCACTTCCTCGAAGCCTCAGACCCCCAACCCCGAGCAAGGCGCCCTCGGACCCCCTTCCTGAGCGAGACGCTCCTGAATTCCCCGAGTGAGGGCCCTGGGACCCCACCACTTCCTAGGGGCCTCAGATCCCCCCGAGTGAGGTGCCCTGGCACCCCACCACTTCCTAGGGGCCTCAGATCCCTCCGAGTGAGGCGCCCTGGGACACATCCCCCCCCAGTCAGGCCCTCCTGAGTGAGGTGCCCTCAGCACCTGTGTCTTCCCATGTGGCCTGAGGGCACACGCATGGGCCTCGCTCCCTGCTCAGGGTGGCCCGACGCCCTGCCTGTCGGTGTGCAGTTGGTGATCCTGCCCGCTCTGAGCACTTGCCATCTGGTACATGTGGCAGAGGGCAGAGCCGGGGGCCTGCTCCTGACCTTGCCCAGGTGGAAAGGTGTATGCCACCTCAGGTTCTCCCTCGGCATCGCGGGAAGCCTGGTGACGCAGGCCGAGGGCTGGGTCTGCGGGTCAGGGAGGGAGCTGTGGGCAGGAAGCCTGACCAGGACACAGCCGGTGGGCCCAGTGGTCACAGCCCACTTCAGACCAGCACGTGACGCTGCGCCTGGGGCACCGCACTGGAGGGGACACTCGGGGACTCCGAGCCCACACACAAAGCGAGTCGTCAACTCACAAAGACCAGGAGAGCGAGGCAGGGCCGAGCTGCCGTCTAGACCTGGGGCTCGGGGACTGCCACCTGACCCCGGACGGCCCCACAGCAGCATCTGCAGGTTCCAACAGTGTGTATTTCCCGGGGCTTCCGGAGACGGAGTAAGGAGCTGCTGTGAGGGCAGACGGCAGGAATGGGGCGTCCGGGCACCCCACTCTGCTCGGCTCACCTCCTGGAGCACCTCTGGCCAGGAGGGGCAGCGGGGCTGAGTCCGTCCTGTGGGCACAGCATGTGTTCCGATGCCCCAAGATGGGGGTCGGATGGCCCAGGTAAGGGACCCCCAAGAGCCGGAGGATGGACCAGGGGAGGGGCCCAGCGGCCCTGCTCACAGCTCTGGGGAGACTTCTGGACGGCAGCGCAGGGGAGGGAAGCCCAGGTGAACCCAGAGGACCCCCTGAGGTGACAGCTGGGGTCCACAGTGGCTGGAGTTGGCAGGGCAGGGTCTGGCGAGGAGAGAACGGCAGAGGGGCGGGGCCACTGCTCGGGCTCCCGCTTCAGGCTCCGCTGAGGACTCTGCATGCGTGTGAGCAGGCTGGGAAAGCGCCCCGACAGCAGTGGAGGGGCAGCCTCTGCACCGCACGGGGCTTGGACGAGGCCTGGCTCCAGCCAGGCTGGAGAACGTCACCGTTCCTGGGGCATCAGGCCAGGCCCTTGAAGGTCTGGCCCTGGGGTGGGGGACGAAGAGCCCACGCGGCGGTGGCCCCACCTACACGCCTGCAGCAGTGGGGCTCACAGGGCACTCTGGTCCCAGGGTCAGCTGCCTCTGGGGGAAGGCAGGGACAGCCAAAGGCAGGTACGAGCCCTGCGTCCGACAGGCCAGCCCATGCCCCAACAGAACAGCAATGGTGCCCACGTGGCCTCCGGGGACGGAGCCGTTGTGACGTGAAGCGGTGAGCAGGCGCTTCGGGAGGAACAAGGGAACGAGGCGACATCGCTGCCGGGTGCCCATGGCCCACAGCAGCCAGGCTGGTGACAGAGTCTGCCTGAGATAAAGCCCACGGGGCGTCAGCCCAGGAGCAAGCATGTGGCACAGGCGAGGCATGTTCTGGCGTGCCTGAGGGACGGAGGGGATGCTGGGAGAGAGGACCCTCAGTTCCAGACTCAAGGAAAACCACAAACTCGCCGACCGGTCAGCGGGTCACGCTGCAAGGAGCGCGCAGCCGTGCCAGCCTCCAACACGGGGAAGCTGTGCACAGTCTCTGACATGCCCAAGCGGCAAAGACGAACCCAAACACAAGCCAGCACGGTGCACTTCATCGAGCCTGAGCAGCTGCAGCCCACAGGCAGCATTGGGGGTGCCCAGCGAGGTGGCGAGGCGAGGCGGGCAGAGCGACTGCCTCTGGGATGGGCGGGCTTGGCAGGCAGGGACGGACTCGGGTATGGCGGCGTCTGCTTTTCACGTGGGAGATGCGTGGGGCTTACTGCGTTGTGTGGACACACGGACCACGAAGAGTGGCCATAGGCCCCTGTGAAGAGCATGCCCCACGGCTGTGCCCAAAGTCTTGGTTAGAGCAGGCCTGGGGACCTGGCAACGACATGCTGAGCCCCGGGAGGGAGAACGCAGGAGGGCAGAAGCCAGAACCTGAGCATGTGGCTGCAGAGCCTCTGGCATGGCCAAGAGCGCGGACCTGCAGGTCTGGACAAGGGACACGCGTGAGGGCGAAGAGAGGGACCCGTGCCCTGCCACGTGGCAGTCTTGTGATGAGAGCTCGGCACCGGAGTGGAGGACAGCCGAGTGCCCGCGGAACCGCCGTGGTAAAGGGATGGGAAGTCGGTGCAGGCCCACGTGACTGAGCCCTGAGGCCTCAGCGCTGTCTGAAGGAAGAGCTTGGAAAACATGCTGGGCGCATGTGCGTGCATGCCCCAAATCCTGAGAGGAGAATGGAGGGGAAGGGGTGGAGCGTGGCTCCCTGAGGGATGATCGCTCACGTTCGCCCCTCTCTGGAGAGTACGATGTCCCGTAGCAAATTAAAAACAAACCAATACGCAAACAACTGCGGAAGAAAAACACGCAGGCCACTCATGGGGACACAGTGTGTGCAGTCGCAGAGTGAGCAGGCTGAGGGCCAGCAAGGCGGCCCTGCGAAGGGGACTGTGACGGTGTGCTGTCCCACGAGGACGTCTCTGCAGTGCTCAGGGTGGGCGTGGGGACAGCGCTCAAGCAGACCATAAGGGAAATACGCATGGTCAAGCTCTGGTAACTAGAATAGAATTTCCAGGTAAGTAGAGAGAAGTGGAATAAGAAAAACAAGCCAATAAAGGAGAAAAACCATTTAAAATGGCATAAATAGAATTAAAAGCAGAGAAAGGAAGCTCAGCTTTGTCAATGATAGAAAGAAATGTGCACCCGGCTGACGTCAGAATGAACAATCTCAGGAGCGTGCTAGACTCGCAAGAGACCTGGGTCTTAAGGGCGCCGGGAAGCGGGGACTCCACAGATGGCAGAGGGTGTTTCCAGAGAACTCGGATGATACCCTCTCAGATGGAACGGACTTCAACAGCAAAAGCATCACTAGGGAGAGACGCTCGTGGCCCAGCGGCACGCCACTGGGACACAGACGGAGCTCAGAAAACGGCCGGAGCGTACAGCACCGCGACCGAGCAGCTGCAGAGAGGGTGGGAGGAGCTGCCGAGCTGGGGCGTGCCACGGACCGCTTGCCTGCTAGGGGCCAAGCGGACTCGCTCATGGTGCTGTGCATTTGGGCAATACAGGGCATCAAACCGTCCAGGTGGACAGAGCAGCATTGTGTATTGACAATTAGAGAAGACACGTTCTTCTAAAAGACATGTAACTTCGATCAAAATCGATCAGGTAAAGACCGTAAAGAAGTCTTAATACTTTTTTTTTTTTTTAAAGAGAGATTTTTGCTATAAGGTATGTGTGCTCACAGGGAGACAGAACATGAGAAATCATCTCCTGGGGGGATGGCCACCCACAATACCTTCTCCTCCATTCTCCTCTTGGGATTTTAGGCACATACGCACATGCGCCCAGCATGAGTTTTAAGCCTCTATGTCTGGGACTGAAACCACAGTTGGCCATGTGGGAGTCCAGTGATGTAATCAATGTGCCACCCGCTGGTCCCAGGAGCCCTAATACATTTTAAAGAGCACAATGTGATTAATTTAGAAATTAATAACAAAAAAATGGAATGAAACGACCCCCTATACTTGGGAACTCAAAAGCAGACTTCTAAGCAAATTACAAGTTAAGTTACAATGGAAAGTAAAGTCTACTTGGAAATGAATGGTAAAGAAGATGCTGTGTGAAAAACCGTGGAATGCGGTAGATGGGGAACTTTGAGGAAAATTCATAGTCATTGATGCTTACATTAGGAAATGGGAAAAGCTGAAAATTAATGATCTAAGGTCCAAATGGAAAGTTAGCAAAGTAGCCAGTGGGGGACATGGTGGTGAAGGTGCTGGACTCTCACGTGGCTGATCGCAGTTTTAATCTCAGACTCAGTGGCTTGAAAATCACACCAGGCGTACACCACAGATCCCGAGAGAATGGAGGAGAAGGGATTGCAGCACGGCCATCTCCCCTGGGGGATGACTTCTCACTTTCCCTCTGTCTCTCTCGGGCAAACGCACACACCCTATGGTGAAAAAGCTAAAAAACAAAAACGTTAGCGAAAGTCTAGCAGAGGAAACCCAAGGAAAGTAGAAGGAGCAATGAACAAGGCAGGCGCTGAAATCGGCGAGACTGAAATCAAATCCAGGCGTCTCCTGGTAAGAAGCCAAAGTTGGACATTGGAGACCAGAAGAGCAGTGTTGAAGGAGCGAGCTCCCGGACAGGGATCGCGGGGAGCATGGACAGGAGGACACTGGGGCAGAGAGGCCAGGAGTCTGAGGCCCTGGGCACCCGCCGCCTGGAGCAGGCCAGACATTTCTGCAGTGGAAAAGGTGCTGGGGGGGAAGTGGAACCCTGTCCCTGGAACTGCACTGCTGGCAGGTGATGAGAAATGCTGAGCCACTGTGGGCTCAGCAGCCAGGCCACCTGCTACAGCTCCCACCACTCAGCCCTCCGTGCCGTCCTCATCGCCACCACCCCGCACACGGCCCGCCTCCCATGCTCCCAGCCAGGACTGCCCGCACTCCTCCCGAGCTCCTGTGTGCATGACCTCACAGGCCCCGCTCACGGCGTGGGGAGAGGTGAGGACAGGGCGCCTCCACACCACAGCCTTCCCTGCCCTGGCTCCGCATCAACTCCAGACCCTGAGAGCCACTGGAGGTCTCCCTGGCCCATCCGTCTAATGCCGTGCCCACTGGACATGCCGAGCCTGGTGGCACTCAGCTGCCAGCCCATAGCTGGTGTGCACTCCGATGGGCATTTGCCCACTGTCTCTCTGGGCCCGGGCCCCTGGTGGAGAGGGAGTGACGTCTGCCTTCCAGAGTGGACCTGGGCTCCTGGGGTGTCCTGCTCTACAGGACACAGTGGCAGGTGTGACGCATGTACCCGGGCAGCCCCCGACGGAAATAAGGACAGGACAGCCTGCCAGAGGCTGAGCTGACTGCATCTCCGCAGGGCCACCCCCGCCACCCTGAAGCCCTCCACAGAGGCTGCCCTGTCCAGGTCTCAGCAGGGCCGCCTTCCATGGTCAGTTGGTCAGCTCCAGCCCTCCCGGCCTCCCTGCTCACCCCACTCTGCCCTGCTCTGAGCAGCTCCACCCCTCCCTGTGGCAGGTGGGCCCCAGGCGGAGGCTCAGACTCCCTCAGCCCACCCTCCCTCCAGGTGCTGCTTCCTGGGCCTGGAACAGCTCGGACTCTGTAGGGACGGGGTCTGTGCCGCCTCCACCTCTGCCAACAGGTATCGCCCTGCCCCACTGCGGCTGCTCTCAGGGCCCTGTCCTGCTCAGCTCTGCCCACTCCTGCTGCCCACGCGCCGCCCATCTCAGGGCTCGCAGAGCGGGCCTGGCCAGCCCCCGCCACGCTGCACACGGGTGCCCGTGGAGCCTGCGCCGAGAGCGTCCTGGCCTGTGCGGCCGTGGGGCCGTCTGAGGGCTGGCAGTGGCCATGGGCCAGGCTGCTGCTCTCCGGAGGGCCCCGGTGGGGCCGTGGCTCACCGTGAACTGGCGCACCTCCCCTCTGTCCACCAGCTCACGGTCCTTCTCGGGCGTGATGGCGTGGGCCAGTTTCTGAAAGAGAAGGAGTCCCTTGGTGCCAGCACCCGCCATGGGCAGACCAGCGCCCATGGCTGACGTGGGGTCAGACCTGGAGCTGCCACCCCAGGGGCTCGGCTCCAGTGGCAACGAATCAAGGACCGCCCAGCCTGAAAGTGGACGCCACCGTGAGAGTCTGAGCCTCACACATGGCAGGTGCTGGCTGGAGTGGGTGTGCCCTCTCCACTGGCCGGGGCTGCCTCGGGGCTGCCAGAGCTCATGGGGCAACCCCTGGGATGCCAGTGCCAGCCTGCCTGGCCGCCCCCACCTCTGGGGGTCGGCTCCCCGCGGACACCACCCAGTCCTCTCAGGGCAGCGTGGCGCTCGGAGCCTGTCCCATGGTCTGCGACCTGTCTCCGGCTCTCTGAGGCCAGACCGGGCAGCCTGCCTCGGCCCCCGAGGTTGCGCTCGCGCTCAGGGCCCGGCCTGGGAGGTTGGCAGACAGGCTCTTGTGGCCCCTGGGCGGCGCTAACCTGGGCCACTCCTTCTGAGTCATCCTGGACACCAGAGCGGCGTCCCCACTGTGGGGCGGTGGCCTCCCACTCTCCCTGGAGACAGCATAGGGGCCACGGGGGCCAGCCAGAGGGGGCACCCCAGCCTCACTGGGGCCTCAGCCGCCTGGGAATCCCCTTCCCAGCAGCCCCCGCCCACACTGTCCTGTGCCCCAGGCCCACCTGCCTGCCTGACAGCTGCAGGGACCAGCAGGAGAGAGCTGGGGGACAGCTGCCCAAGCGCGGGGCTGCCCTGCCCGAGGGCGGGTCCTTGACCTGCCAGGTGCCAGCACTGGGCGGCTGTTCCCTGAGCCACAGAGGCCCGGGTGGGCACTCCTGTGAGGATGCTGTGCCAGGAGTCATCTGCCAGGGGTGGGACCCTCACCACCCTCCTTCCCAGGGCTGAGCTGTATGCAGGAAGGGGTGTGAGCCCACGGCCCTAAGGAGGCCCTGGGGCTCCCCACAGGAGCTGCTCAGCTCCAACGAGGGTGGGCTTGGCCCTGGAGGGCAGGGACTCTGATTCTGCCCACCCCGTCTCCACAGCTGTCCTCCCACCATCACCACACACGGGATGCACAGAGAGAACACAGACACACGTGGGCATGGGCACCAGCACACGAGCACACAGACATGTAGACGCACAGAGACACACGTGGGCATGGGCACCAGCACACGAGCACACAGACATGTAGACGCACAGAGACACACGTGGGCATGGGCACCAGCACACGAGCACACAGACATGTAGACGCACAGAGACACACGTGGGCATGGACACCAGCACACGAGCACACAGACATGTAGATGCACAGAGACATACGTGGGCATGGGCACCAGCACACGAGCACACAGACATGTAGATGCACAGAGACATACGTGGGCATGGGCACCAGCACACAAGCACACAGACATGTAGACGCACAGAGACATACATGGGCATGGACACCAGCACACGAGCACACAGACATGTAGACGCACAGACACACATGTGGACACGGGCACCAGCACATGAACACAGACATGTAGACAGACACACGTATAGACATGGGCACCAGCACACGAACACAGACATGTAGATGCACAGACACACGTGAGCCTATACACAGAAACACACACAGACACGCTGCAATGGCCCAGGTCCTGTGCTGAAACCCCATCGAGGGGGCATCGGGATGCAGCAGGTGAGCCTATGGGTCTCTGCCCGCCAAGGGGCCCAGGGAGGAGGGGGCCAGGCCCTCGGGTTCCTGCTGGGTCGCCTAGCCTCCGGGCTGTGAAGACAGTCAGCACTGGTCACCGTGCCCTGTTAGGGCAGCCCACGCCCACACGTGGACACTTGGACGTACCAACACAGACACGTGGGCATAGACACACACATGAGCACGCACACGCGCTTGCACCCCCACTCCAGCCTCGGCCTGCTGCTTGGACCTGGGCGAGGCCCCGGGCCAGCACCCACCTCTCGGAAGGAGCCGGGCAGACTGCAGAGTTTGTAGGCCGCGTAGAGTGGCACTGTGGCCATGGAGGAGGTGGCGATGGCCCAGCCCAGCATGTTGGCCCAGTCGGGGAAGGTGTAGGTGCCGTAGTGGGGCGGTCTGAAGGTCACCACGCTGACCACAGCCACGAACTGAAACCAATGAGACCGGGCCAGGGTCAGGTGGCGCCCGCTGCGTGGTGTGATGGGGCCAACACTCCCCTGATGCCCCGGCCAGGCCGCAGGAGGCGCCCCAGCATCGTCCTGCTGCTGAGACCAATTCCTCCTGAGACCTGTGGACCTGTTGGCCCCTCTGCCCTCTGTGCCCGCCCACGCCTCCTCTGCCCTCTGTGCCCCCCCACCCCTCCTC